GGGGGGGGGGGGGGGGGGGGGGGGGGGGGGGGTGCATGTGTGGCGTGCTGGGGCGTCTCCGGGCCTATGGTGCGGAGCTCTTGATGTGAGAGCCGGCCCTCCTCAGCTGCGGCTCCCTGCTGCTCTGCCCCTTGGGCTGGGGCCGGCCTGTGGTCGCTGTCAGGTAGATGGTGCATGCAGTCGGCCCGACAGAGATTCTGTCGGGCTATCTGTGTGTGCCTGTTGGTTGCTCAGGTTGGGTTTTTGGTGGTCCCCCCTCTCTTGGATCAATTTGGGCCACACGTTTGGTGTGGGGCCCACTCCCCACGGTCGTGCCCCCCTTTGGCGGGGGACCCCCTTGCCGCCGGTGCATTGATGGCTCTCTGTGTCTGGGCTGGGTGGTGGGGTGCACGTCGGTCCACCCTGGTTGCTGCCTGGTGGGGCCTGGGTGCCCTGGCTCTGTCGGGGCTCTGCTGGGGGGTGGTATGGCCTCGGGGCTTGGGGCTCGGTGTCCATGGCCAGATCTACCTGGGGGGGGCATGGGTCGCCGGCCGGACCTGTGGGCTCGTCGCTGCAGCTTCCTGGAGGCTCTGCATTGTAGTGGCTGGGGTCACCCGGTTCTTTCCTCTGCTCCTCTCTGGGGGGGTGCGGTTCTCCCTGTTGGGAGACTCTTAGGGCTCCGGGCCTGTGGGCCGCTGTGTGTCTGTGGCTCCGGTCCTCCCTATGTTGCCATTGTGTCCTGGGGGGGCGGGTCTGTGGGCCCCCGCGTCCACTATTGGGCATTCTTTTGGAGAAATCTGGTGGTGGCGGGCGTGCTTGCGCGGGTGTTTGGATTCAGGTGCTTTGACAGATGCACGCTAGGTTGGGTAGTGGTGGAAGCTATATGATTCCTTGTGCGATGTCGAATGTTTTATGGTGATATTGTGGGTGGCATTGTGCTGTGCATGTTGTTTTGTTTTGGTGGTCTCTCGTCTTATCTATTTCTCTTTTATTATTTATTTATTCTTCTTTCTTCTCTTTCTTTAAAAAAAAATAAATAAATTGAGCGATGATGATAAGTTCATTGAAACACTTCACAATGTTTCTACACTTAAACTGAGCTCAAAAAAAAAAAAAAAAACATTTTAATATCCTGATGCGTGCTCAATAATCCAGGTAGAACAATCTAAAAAAGTTAAATCTGGTCCTCTGGACATTCAAAAAAACAAAACAAAGCAAAACAACAACAAAAAATGTAGAAACGTTTCGTCTTTCATCCAAAAGACTTCCTCAGTCTGAGGTGCTGTATTCAGCTCAGACTTATAAATAGCACCTTCTCATAGTGGATCAACCAGTTTAATAGATTTAGATAGCATAGAATAGAATAATCGATTAATAATAGAAAATAATAATAATAATAGAAAATAATAGAAAAATAGAATAGATTGGATTTAATAGAATATTTGACCATCAAATAGCTAACAACTGGTCCGGGTCTGGTTTGCCAGAGGTAAATCGATATATGGGCCAGCTATGGGCCAGTTGGTGTGTCCTCATTTGGCCCACACCTGGCCCAGTTCTGGCCGCATATGGGCCACATCTGGCAAACCAGCCCTGGGCCATGGGTGGCCCGTCATTCATTGAGCCATGTGGGTCAGATGTAACTGCCAGATGTGGGCCACATCTGGCCCAGACCAATTTTGCTATGTGGGAAATTGGGACTTTACTATACTATTTTTAAGTATATCAAATACAGTTTATAAAAAGTACACTTCAAGTACACTTCCTCATTTTTAGTGTTAAATGAGTACACTTACTACTAAACTACTTTTTTCTAGGGAAGCAGAAGTGTTTTTAATGAACAGGGTTTGAATTTAAGTTCTAATTATATCTAGAAACACAGCAGTTTGAAGTGCTGCTAGCTCACAGGCTGCAACCGCGCAAGTAATGTCTTGTGGAGAAGTCGCCATGTTGCTAAGCACTTCCAGCTGCTATCTACATTAGCTGTTAGCAGTTAGCAAAATGGAAGCTTCCACGCAGGAACAAGCACATGGCTGCAGCCGAAGTGTGGACTGCGCTTCAAAATGCTGAACCTCAGCTACCATCCATATTGTTTTAATGAACACGCTCTAAATTTAGGTTTCTTAATTAATAGCTAGCTCTTAGCTTCTCTGATGGATGCAGAATGATGATGTCACAACAAAGGCTGCATACCATTCCTTAATATTTCAATTGTACATTAACATTTCTCTTTTAGATTTAACATTTACATAGTGATATGGCATTTAAATTTTTTAAATAAAATTTTAAAAAAAAGTAACATACAAAAAAATATTCACAGTAGACTTTTTGATGGGAAATTTTTGATAAATGTTTGGAAAATGAGCTAAAGCGGAAATTAATAATAATAATAATAATAATAATAATAATAATATAAAAACTTTAACAGGAAGTTACAGTCGAAAAGGGAGCTAAATAATGACAACTTGTTGGGACATTAAATCAGGTGGTATGTTTGTATCCAGAATCTGTGGATGGAGGGAGGGTACTTTAGTATGGAGGGTTGAAAATTACATTTGATTATTTAATGTCATTATTTAAAAGGTACAATTATACATTTCATGGGATGTTTAGTTAATTAATTCTTTATTTAATAATTTTATTGTATATTTAATGATTTAATGATATAATGAATTGAATAATTAAACAATACATTTAATTATTATGTATTTATTTAATTTTGTCACATTCCACCCTACATATTTACATGAGATGTTTTTAATCATGGAATAAATAATCGCAGCTTAACTTGTTTAAAAATATATATTTGGGCAAACAGCAGCAAGATTAGAACAACATGAATGAACAAGTGTCAAAAACTGAAAAAAAAAAAAAAACTTTTTAATTTTTTCACAAGCATAATTTTCCATTTGTTTACATGGAGGAAGTTGGAGGTAGAACTTGCACGACTTCAACTTCCAGGTTCCAGTTCAACCTGTAATAACAGTCTTGATTGACATCAATGGGGGCTTTAAGTAACTGGTGAGGTTCAGAAACGGTACACTGCACATGAAGGTTTTTGGAATGCTCTGGAATCATGATGTATTATTTTCTGCTCAAACCTAAATGTAATAATAAGTCTAAGACAAAAATAAATATGCATGATTTTGTTCACCCAATCTAATCTTTCAGTCAAAATTCAGTTAACGCTCCAAAACATCCCCTTTTCTCACCAGTAGTTCAAACAAAGGTGTCTGTCTGAATATTTGAAGTGAAACACACGACATACCTGTGGAACAATGTGGACTCAACTCTTGAATGTTGAGTCTGAACTTGTTCTAAATCTTGGAAAGGAAAGCAACAAGTCTTATTTATCAATGAATAAACAACAAATATTTGAGGATAATTTTAATTTAATGAGTTTAGAGCTGTGGCAACTGCTTGAATGTATTCATATGTTCATTTAAATATTGTTGTGCACTTTGGTAAATTATTACCATTGGCTTGATTACATTAAACAAACCTTTGGCAGGACCTCCCATTAAGCCAGGTGCAAGATAAACACAATAAAGGATATCTGTTTCCTGACATGCATTTGCATTTTGACCCTTTGGCCAAGGACACAGGAAGGTGTAACGACTTCAGATCACAGCTGATTAGGGTTGTGTGTGTCTGTTGTAACCCCAGCTAGTGGAGGCAGGTTCATCATAAACCTTGTTACTGTCCCCATCGTGCTGCTCAGGATGGGAGACTGTGACAAAATGAAGATTCAGCACAATTTGCTGGCTTCCTTAGATAAACAACTTTTACTAAATAACATTTTAATGCATGTGGATGTTTTTGTACAGAGGGATGATGTTTATGGTGTATTGGCACTTTAAATAAGATGAAGTGAACTCAACCAGGACTAAACGCCAGATAAGCTCCCAGCAACACTGTAAACCTTTCTTTCAGGAAAAAGCTCCCATGCTTCTTGGAAACAACTTTCATTGCTCATCATTAATTTTATCAAGACATCAAGTAACGTGTCAAAACTTAAAAAGTTAATTTAATCAATGTGTTTGAATAGTTTACACTCTGACACTAAAGTGCATGTATCTGATTTATTTTGTATTTCTTTTAGATGAGGCCTTATGAAATAGACCAAATTCCTTTTTTAAATTTTTATAAATAATATGTGAAAATTGAAAATTACGTTAGTGCAAAACAGGATGCAGAGTAGATGTGGAGTAGTGGGAAGAACTCGTTCAGGCTGATGTGGCCGTCTGAGCTTTTTAAAGAGCAAGACTTCACTAACTGACTGCAGCAAACAGGAAATCACTGCTTTGTATAGGAATGGGTTTATTTTTGTCTTCAAATCAGAGTGTCTTGGATATTTTTTATAAAAAGGATAATGTAAATTGAAGTTTTGTGATTAGCAGTATTCAACCTGTCTTTTGTAGTTTGTCCACAGCCACACACGATCAATAGATGAGTCTGTTGTGGTGACGATTATCTTGGAGTACCCACAGGGACTGTAGGCCACTGGAAACACATTGAAGTAAGCATAGTCAGGGGGGTTAGTGGGAGGGATACCCAAGTGACGCATGCACAACCCCAAATATGCATCTTCTATATAAAGAGCTTTTACATGTCTGGATGCTTCAATGAGCTTTGCTGTGAGGTCCAGAGATAAAATGTAGCCCAGACCCAAAGCGTAGGGGGGGTACACTGACTCAGGTAAAATCTCATACGGCACGTACCACTTCGATTGTGGATCCCTCAAGACGGCACCTCCATACGCCACAAGGCCAGACATGTAATTTGTCTTTGGAGCATGTAAGAGCATTTTGATCAGATTGGGCACATTTAGAAACGTGTCCGAGTCGATCTTCATGGCGTACGAAGCAGCGGAGCAGTGCACGTTCAGCCACTCCAGCATCACCATGGTCTTGATGGTCAGATTCTTGTAGCAGTCCACAAAGTCACTCTGAATCAGATCTTGGTGCTCTTTGCTTTCCTGCAGCAGCTGCTCGTGGACCTGCTGGGCATCTTCTCCTGTTTGCATCCCCAGCAGAAAGAACAGCTTCACCACTTGATCCAGAACGAGGTTTTCACTTCCCCAAGTGCGGCGAATGATGTCACGGTGAGCTCTGTTCCGTGGCGCTACTGGAACCATCAGAACGACAAACGGCTTCCCCTGCTCACATTTCTGTGGTTCGTTTATTGTAAAGTGATACTCGTGAGGATATTCTACTAAGTATAGTCCAGGAGATACATAAGGAACCGGTGTGGGAAACAATTGGTGTAGCCCCTGTTGAATCATCTCTATGGTAACCGTAGTCTTGTTCTTGATCATTAGCTCACGTGTTGATGAAATATTCAGAGTTTGAGGAAGTGCAGTTGAGGCAGCTTCAGTTGTAAAGCCAGCAATATCTGAAAGAGCTGACGCCTTAGCTGCTGGTCCATCTGTGATGTTTATGGCAACATTTTGTTTTACAAAAGGAAAGAATAGGTTTGTTGAATGGTTTTGTATCCATTGTTTAGGGTTCCACTCCAGCACCATGTCCTTTTTGTTTGTGCAGTTGAAGAAAAGCACAGCTGCCAGAACCAGAATAAAGAAGAAGCAGTGACGCCGTGACAACCATCTCTTGTTCCCAAGTTGCTCATTATACACCATTTCCTGGCTGGAAGAAGAAAAGGTGTCAGGGGGCAACAATGTTTGATCTGTATCACAGAGGTAAAAGTTAATTAGGTTAGGTGCCTTTAAATGTTGTACCTCACATACAGTAAAAAACTTTAATTTAGTTCAAATTAATAGTATGTTTTCAGGTTTGTGTAAGCTCTTAATAAACTTTAATAAACCCCAGGATTCTTGTTTTCTGCTTCTTTTTAAATCAAGGGGGAGGAAAAAAACATACACTTTCAAAGCTGACATACCTTCGTCTGTCCTTAGCAGCGACACGCTCCAACATGTTGACACCGTGTTGACTGTAAACGCAGCGTCTGAGCGTTGTTTTCCAGCAGGAAAGGACAAAAATACAAATGTTGCTCCTTTAAAAAATTCATGGCAGGGTTTCAGTGATCAGTTGGGACTCACCTGTCGGATAGGACAGGGTGGGGCTGCAGAGGAGCGAGAAAGCGTTTCAGACGTTAGTCCTTGTTTTTGCTGTCCTCTACTGATCAAGTAACCACAGCTTTGTGTTTTTTTATCACACTCAGGACTACCACACCTGTGTTTGCTCCACCTCCAGCTCTAAATCCTCCAGAGACTATGGACCGGTTCTCCTTATTTGACTTGGTGTTCATTAATCCTGATAATGTGATTCAGCCTTTTGTTAGAGAAAGAAACACTGTGAACTTAATAATGTTGAGTCGCTCACAGCTTCATCACAGCAGCACGATCGCTCAGTGGTTAGATCTGTTGCCTCACAGCAAGAAGTTCCAGGGTTCAATCCCCAGTTTTGACCTGGGGTTTTTCTGGGTGAAGGTTGCATGTTCTCCTCGTGTTTGCTAAGTTTTCTCCAGGTTCTCCAGTTTCCTCCTGTGCATGTTGGGCTGACTTCAGGCCTGCCTCGCAGAACAGATCTGTGATCTCAATGGCATTTCCCAGGATAAACAAAGGTTAATAAATTAATAAAAATTCTTTATTAACTTACATTCATATTGTTTAATGCAGTGGTTCTAAAACTGGGGTCCGTGAGCCGGTGCTTGGGGGTCTGCAAAAATAAACAAAAAACATTAAAATACACCTAAATGCAGGAAGTCACATCTACTTTATTCACAATTTTCTAGGGGAGGACCCCCCCCCCCCCCCCCCACACACACACACACACTGGCCCACCCACTATTTGCGTTCCAGCATCGATCGATTTACAAATTAAACTCTGTTACTTAGTCTGACTACTGCTGTTTTGATCCTGTTCAGTTTAATGTAAAGAGTTTTCTGTAATAATTTGAACAAGTGGCGATACATTTATTATGTTCATTATGTGAACAGATAAAGTTTTAAAGTGGTTTTTGATTCTGTTAATTTTCTCAAAATTGTAATTTTTTTGGAAGTTGATATTAAAAATGTTGTTAATTAAGTGTGTCTTGAATGAAAAATACCCCGTGATTAAAAGTATAAATATTGTATAAACACTATTAAATAACAGCTCTTAAGTATTTATGTTACACAAATATTTCCATTGCATTAAAGAGACAAATGGAAGAAAATTATTTAATAAACATGAGGGTTATGAGGGGGTCCCTGAAACATTTTCTCCCCTATAAGAGGTCTCTGAACCCAAAAAGTTTGAGAACCCCAAATTTAATGAATAACATAGTATGTTGGACTTAGTTTCTGGCTTTCCTTTGGATGTGATATATACGTTTGTGTTGTATAACTACATAAAAAAACAGTAATTACCTTTTACACAATAGAAAAGAATGTTTTAAAATCTTAAAAGTCTCAAAACGTGAACAACCATTTTATTCACTTTTATGTGTCAATATGGTTTTTAAATAGATGAGCAATTTTCAGTTTGCAACATCAAATTAACTTTCTTCTTTTTGGATTTATTTTTAGAAAAAAAAAATACATTAACAAAAAACTTTAAACATCCAGATAAAAAATTGAAGCTACTAGACAGAAAATTGAATTTTGTGACAGTCAATTCAGCAAAAATATTATAATATTCCATCAGGAAGTGTTTCAGGCCACCTCGGAGCTAAGCTAGTTACCACTGCTGCTGCTATTGCAATTCCAAAAACACGATAACATTGATTAATTAGAAAAAAAAATTAAAAAGGTGAAAAGCTGATGACAGTGTGAACATTTATAAAAGAAAGTTTTAAATTAACAAAAGCTGATTTTGAGAAATGATGATTTTGAAGGTTTTTTTTGTTCACACCCACTGATGTTTTCTGCCAAAGCAAACCAATTTAGTTGTTTTTACAGGTTTATCATTAATTTAGTTGTAGCAAATTCTGTCCTTATCCTGTCATCAATAAACTTTAATATTGTGCTGAAAAAGGTAATCCCGTAGTCCCTCGCTACTTCACGGTTCAACTTTCGAAGACTCGCCCTTTTGCAGTTTTTCAAAGTAAGATCAGACATGACACACAATAGACCCATTCAGTGTTAGTAAACAAAGATGGCTGTGAGCGCATCGTAGCAACAGAAGTACTGCTTCAGATGGTAAATGCAGGCGGTCTTCCAACATAACACAGAATCTAACGCTAAATAAGTACCATCACCAGAATCAAAATGTCTCATTGTTGCGTTTACGGTTGTTCAAACCGTTATTCAAAGGACAGGCTTAAATTCTACCATATACCAAGGGGTAATCAACCGTTTCAGAGCCACCGAAGGCAGCTGTGGCTTCAGGCTGTCCAACGGGTCGATTGGACCGAGGGTACTATCAAAAATTGCACGAGTCTGCGGTGCCCATTTTATATCAGGTAAGACTGTGTGTCAATACTTTTATTTCAATAGAAACTCTTGTTGTTATCAACAGTTGTTTGTAAAGCGTAGACCCACAATTTATAGCTGTTAGCTCGTTGTTTATTAGCTAGCTGTCAATAAGTAAATGCGTACACGTGTGCTTTCTTTACAGGGGAGGTGTCGCTGGACTGGCAGAGTCCTGATTTCATGCCTTCTGTATTTAATTCAGAGACCTGAGACCAGTGGTGGAGAAAGTACTCAAACACTGTACTTAAGTAAAAGTACAAATAAACAGACAAAAATGTACTCTAGTAAAAGTAGAAGTACCACATTAACGTTTTTACTTATGTAAAAGTAAAGAAGTACTTGCTTTTAAAATACTTAAAGTATTAAAATTAAAAGTACTTGCTGAATGTATTACATAATGCAATGGTCTACATATCTTTAAGTGTGCCTACCGTATGTATATTTTCTGTAATACATTAATAGTGTTGAGCCATTTTACTGAACAATGCTGCAGATGATACATGTTTTTATTGTGTTTACTCTGTGACACAGTTCAACTTGGACTTGTGATGCCGTGCGTCAGAATTTCAGGGATGACCTGCAGAGTTAAATGCCATTAATCAAAAATAAGAAAGAGGAATGATTTTACCTTTGAAAGTTTTTATTTAACACAAATCAAAACCAATGTGTCATTTTAACTGCAGTAAACACATTTAAGTAAAAGTTGTCTGCCTGAACAAAAGGAGCATTAGACACAACTAACAAAGGAATAGACACTGATCATTTCCACTGATATTTCAACTCCAGTTTGTCATCAACTCCAGTTAAAATACTGTCAAGTCAATCTTGTAATGGGTCAATATTGAACTATATTTTAACTATATTTTAACTTCCTGACACCATTTTTAAAACTTGGACCTGAGTGTTGAGCCATTTAGAGACATCTCTTGTCTCCTAACATCCCATGAACTGACACATTTTAATATTGCAGTAAGAATTTATTGTTCAAGTTCAGAAGAAGTTGGTTTTCAAAGATTTTTGAGTCCAATCTGGCTCTTTTGGAAGAGAGAAGCCGTCCTGTTGTACTGAGCCTTTCAATAATCTTGCAATAATCTTTCAATAAGGCCATGGGTGGAGCATATCTTCTGGCTGACTCTCTTGCGATGGAATACATTTTGGGTGTGTTAGTGGTGCTGCAGGTGCACCCAGTTCAGTGACACACATACTAGAATATATGTCATTGGCCCAGCTCTTCTTGAAGACGGGCCTAACGTTACCTGCCCACTTTGCAGTGATTCACTGGACCAACTCCCCTCTCACCATTGGTTACTTTCAAAGTAACAAACAAATCAAAAAGCCGCAACATGAATGTAACTTGTAATGCAACGCATTATAGAAATGTAGTGTAGTAGAAAGTACAGATACTTGATGTAAAAAGGAGTGGAGTAAAAGTATAAAATACCCACATTTAACTCTACTTAAAGTACAGATACATGAAAAATGTACTTAAGTACAGTAACAAAGTATTTGTACTTAGTTACATCCCACCACTGCCCGAGACAATGCTGGAAAGATATAGATAATTAGTCTTGTTCTCTCTTTACTCTTTTGTTGTTGTTTTCCTCTGTTCCATTGTCATATTTAATATGCACTGGCACTAGCTTTGAAATACTTCTCTTTAGAAAAAGTAGATTTAGTTTATCCACAAGGTATCTCACTACACCGTCACTTTTCACCAGAAGTGCCACTTATTTTGCAGTCAAAACCTGAATGAACTTGGTCAGGAAACAACAAAGTCCATGCTCAATAATCCAGTTATAAAATCCAACATTTTTCAGTCAGGTCATAAGGACAATTTATTTTTTTGTGCTGAAACTTTTCGCCTTCGATCTGGAAGGCTTCATCAGTCAAGGAAACAACAAAACTGATTCTTCCCCCAACAGCTTACTTCAAAGTGGAACAAACCAGTTCTGCTTGTGATAAGCTGGTCTCTTTGGTACGCCCCCTCCTCCATTGCCGGCCCTCTTCCTTGTTGACAGTCGTGTCAAACTGGTTGAAAACAACAAAGTTCATGCTCAATAATCCAGGTATAC